GCCGCGGCCGAGCCGAGCCCAGCCCAGCCCAGCCCAGCCCAGCCCCGCCGAGCCGAGCCGCCGCCCGGGCCCTGCGACCCGCGAGCCGCCGCCCGCACCCAGCCCCCCGAGCCGCCCCGCCGCCGCCGCCCCTTTCCGCGCCGGCACCTGGATGTGGCAGAAGATCTCGGAGTCGTCCAGCAGCCGCACGGTGCATTTCATCTCCGCGCTCAGCGACCTGATGCTGGAGCTCCGGAACCGGATCATCCCGGCAGCCCGCCCGCCGCTGCCGCCCCGCAGGCAGCCGCAGGGGGCCAGCCTGCAGCGGCGCCCGGCCGAGCACGGCGCTGCACGGCGCGGCACAGCGCTGCACGGCGCGGCACGGCGCGACACGGCGCGGAGCGGCGGCAGCGCCACCCCTCAGCCCCGCGGCGCCCCGCCGCCGCCCGCCATCCGCCCGCCCGCCGCGGCTCGGGCCGCCGCTGCGTCAGGATGCGCTCCGCTGGCCGGCCTCAGCATCCTCCTGCGCCCGCCCCCGGCATGGCACAGCACGGCGCGCCCCGCGGGGACACCTCTCCGCCCTCACCTGCTCCTCCCGCCTCTCCGCCCCACCGGTCCCGGCTGGGCTCCCTGCGCGGCTCCGTTTCGTCGGGCTGGCAGCGCCGAGAGGGGAATGGTCAGCGCGATTGTTTGCCTTCCCCGCCACGGGCGTGCCCCGCATGGTTTTGAGTGCACCTGAGCGACTGGTACTCGCTTGGGAATGCCCGATGCCCTGCAAACGGGGGCATCCCCCGGGCTGCCGGCGGGGAGTGGAGTCACCACGCTGCCTGGCCGCCCTTGGCGGGAGTCTTCGGCGTATCCCAACACAGTCCGAGGCAGGAGGAGAAGCCTGTGGAACACATATATGGAGTCATATAAAGAAATCTAACCAAAGATGTGTGTACCCTAATGAAACAGAAGAAAACAGAATGCAACTTACTGTTAGAGTACAAGCCTTGGAAACTTGTTTCCTTGGGGAAAAAATGACCTATTACAGAGCAGCAGTCACACCCCATTTGTTGTCTAAGTGGGAAAGAAAATAAAGCATCCAGTGGTTTCACTATTATGTTCTCCATCACAAAAGGGTGTACACATTTGTGTAAAACCTTGCTGTCAGAAAGCAAGTACCAGACTTAACCAGCCTTGAAACAGGGATCAGCACTGTGTTAAAAATGAGTACTTTCCTTTGAAATATGAAATGAAAAACAGCCAGGGCAAAATGGGACATGACTGGAAGTTTACAAATATAAAAGAAGCACTGACAGTCACACAGAAGGTGCATTTTAGATATTTTGCATAGTTTTCTGTGATTACCTGTACACATCCATATTTTGAAAATAGTTTTCTGTGAATGTGTTGTTCTTTTGAAAATCCTGTGTAAATGCCTAAAGTGCTGTAAGCTCTTCCTTTGGCTTTCTGCTGGACTGCTAACAGCAGGAAATTCAGGCAACCATAAACAAATGAGAAATACATAATGCTCATTCCATCAGCTAATAAATATGCAAAGCCCTTTAATGTGGAACATAAAAGAAAAGCTATATATATGTGCTTCTCAGAAATGATAAATGCTTTCAATTGCATAGTGAATAGTGAAGCAAACCAGTGAGTATTTAAAATAGATTATTCACCTCAGCAGCCACAGTCAGCCCACAAGTTATGGAAGAAGGTCCTTATCAGCTGAGACACCAGATGTGGCCACCCACTCATTAATAATAAAATAACACTTTATGTATTACAGTTCTGTAACATGGGAACTCAATAGCAGGATTTAAGCCCACATGCAGATTGACTCTCAGGTGACACAGATTTTCCTGCTTCTCACAGAGAAGGAATCTTTTCTTTCTAAGCCAAGTATTTTAAGCTTTCCTTCAGTCTCTGCAGCACACACTTCTCCATCCAAAAGGGAAATTATAAGAGGGACCTGAGCCAATGATGAAGATTTAGTGAGTAGGTCATAGTCTACCACTGTATGAAAGGGGGTTTTGCTTTATCTCCAGGACCACATGGAGAGGGATGAGCTTTCCACGAGTTTTCAGTTACAGCAACAGTGATGACTGCATGAAATCTGCATCCCCAAACTGTTGCACAGCAAGTGTGAACTAGTGTGTACCAACAGCAGCACAGCTGCCTGAGCACAGAGCTCAGCAGAATTTTACTTGTCTGTTGTAAAAACAGGTCACTCTTGTCTTTTTGGTCACCTTATTTGCATTTTTAATACTTCATACCATGCAGACCTGAGGTCCCTAAGAACTCTGTGAGACAAGTAACTAATTTCTATGTTTCAGATACTGAAGCAATAGTTTTTACTGCACAGAATGTGGCAGCCATCTACCAGGAAGACAGGACAGGACACCAGATAAATGAAACATTCAAAAGCATATACTCCACCCAAAGAGAAAAAAACAAAGTACAACCAAAAACACCTAACCAAGCAATGAAAGTTTTTTGGTTGAAAACCAAACACTCTTCCCAGCTGCAACTCCACAAAGTAAATCCATCAGATGAATTTTGTATCACATGTAAGGATTACCACCCCTTCCTTATTCAAAAAGCATTCTAGACTTTTTTTTTTTCCCTTACAAATAGAAGGCTCTTAAAGGTCTCTAAGCATTGTGAATTATGCAGAAAAAACCCACAAACTTACCTCAACACGTATCACAGTGCACCCTTTTTTGCTGGATCTTGGAGGAGGCCAAACAGTCTTTATGCAGCTAGCGTTTGGAAAGATCACCTGAAAAGTCAGGTACTTGAGGAACTGGCATTAAACAGTATGGCAGATATAAGAAAACACAAGGTAACAGATAGATAAATTTAGTTGAGTTATCAGAAAATGCTGAGCTGATGGAGTATATAAAAAATTATGCTGCTTGAACTTGCAGAATACACTTCTGGCTCAGGGGAACATTATTCGCTGTTGCTGTTGCTGCCGAGACCATGACATGTTATTGAGGGGGTTTTTGGAGCACTCACCTGGCTTTATAGTGCAGATGTGAGAGATGTTCTAACAGGAGATCATAATATTGGGTAATGCCAACTGCAAGAACTGGTTGGTGGTGGGCAGACACATGCTCAAAATGCATTTGAGATTCATCAGTCTCAGAACCAATCAGTGCAATAGCCACATTCCCATTCTTTCTTCATCTGACTGGTCACAGAATGACTTTGCTTTGGGATGAGTACATGTGGATGGCCTGAAGGACAGTAGCCTACTTACCTAGGAGGTGTTGCCAGATACAAAGTTATATTTAGGCACAGCAGGGAGCACTAATGAGCTTGAGTAGTACTTTGATATCTGGATGATTCTGCACAGAGCCAAATTACAGAATATAATAGTCAAGGATTTTCCCTTCAGTAGCTGATAATAACAGCAGCTTTAGTTCTTTCAGTTAATATTTATAATTTAACCAAATATATAAACATTTGATTTGGATTTGTTTGTTTTTTTTCCAAATACTCGAAGATCAATCCAAAAATATAACTGTCATGGCTGTAAACACTGCCTGCCATGGGCCAGCCACCGAGTTACAGCATGGATAGGCCAAATACACACACCACTGTTCCCAGAGGGGTGCTCTGCGTGACGCACTAACCTCCTTCCCCAAGGCCCAGACCTCCCCATTGCCTCAGCCGTGGGTCCCTCACGGGGCTCTCACAGCCAGGTCATTAGCACACACAGCAATTAGCCATTGCTCAGAGATCACAGTGCCATAAGTAAATGATGACTTATTTGTGAAGTCTGTGACAGTTTAGATTTTACTCAGTTCCCTTCTACAATAGGATTAGGAACTCCAACACTAAAATATTTCAGCTGAAGACATGGTCTGGGCATTAGGCTTCTCCAGAACATATCCTAAAGAATGGGAGGTGGGGGTTGAGCCAGCAATGGCTCAGGGAGTAGGTTCCTGTAGTAACAAAAGTGTGAGTTTTGCTGTCAAAGGCACAGAGTCCACAGGAAAGCTGGCTTCCTAGGTGTCTTAGAGATCCTGTTATTCAGCAGAAGGTTTGAATGACCTCTGAAGGACCTGGCTGACAAGGCAAACAAATCACTCATACCAAGGCCACAATTTTTTTTCATACACTTTGTTATCTTCAAGGGGATTACCTTTGAGACACACACTGTACAATTGTAAAATATATCTGGTAACTAAGCTGACATTAGCAGTGAGGTAATTGAAGGGCTGGGCATACCAGGCAGCATGCAAAATCTGAAACAAGTAAGAGATACCACACATATGGGACCACTTTTGTTCCTGTCTTAAGTGGTTATCTAAAAAATCACTTCAAAACAAAAAAACAATTTAAAAAAATAGGGGGTTTGCATCTTGAAATAAAAGATTTCTTACATGTAAATATTACACCAGGAACTTGAAAACTGCACATAAAATATTAATGCATATATATATAAAACCCTAAGAGTATTACACTATACATAAATTACAAAGAAAAAGATATTTAAATAGCAAAAGTTCTACTGTTCACTGGGGGCAGAGTTGAGTCAGAAGGTGAAACTTGAATTCACAGAGGGTTTCTATTTTCTTTTGCATTACAAAATCAGTACAAAAACCATCACATACTTGTTGCATGAATGAGAAAGCAACAAGATACATAAAATATTACATTATTTGACAGCAGTATAAAAACATTCAGGATTTTCATGCTTGTACTCCAAAGAGAGCTGTCACTCCCTAAAATCCACTTAAAAATGTAGGGCTATCTGTGAATATTTGGCCACAACTGCACCAGTAAAAAAGACATAGACTGTTATTGAAATCTGCAAGTCTCTATCACAACCTGCAACCTCTATCACTGATGGTCCTGCTGGCCTCCACATTCCTTGGGTACACTTGTGTACCCCAACCACAGCTTACGGGGGGGAACCGGTGAGTCAGAAGTAGGTATGTTCTTCCACTGCTTAAGTTTAGCAATCAGATCTAGAACAAAGTACAAGAAGAACATTACAGTACTCTCTTCCAGCAGAGAATGACAGGTTGAGTTTACTGTACAAACTTCTCAGCAAATTTCCTGCATCTGGAAGCTCAAACTCCATCTAATCAGCAGTTGTCTGAGTTAAAATGGATTGCACAATACCGCACTTGAAATTTGCTGATGGGAGAAAACTTTACATTGATTTTAATCTACATAGTACAACTGCCAAAAAGGCAAATGTCAGCTTTCAGCCTTTGGTTTGGAGTGTACAAAGTCAGTGAGATGATTCTTGTGATTCACTG